TGCATGCATACACAAATAAACTATTAGTACCTCAGCCACGAGTTGTTAGGATGACTGCCCGTCAGTGGATCGTATAAATTTAACTCAGTGTCTGTGTGTGTGTGTGTAGGGGTGTTTGTGTTTTAGTTTACATATGGTAGTACCTTACACCCACTGGAGTTCATCTTGTCAATGGTCCGCCTGAGTGCGGGGTTTGTGGGCTCGATCAGCTCCACCTGAGTGCGCACGTTGCTCTCCACATAGGGACCCACCAGGAAATAGTTCTCCCCCCATTCCTCTGAGGTCAGACGGGCTTTGGTCTGGATGACGGTGTAGATGCCTCCAACTTCACACATAGAAAGATATAATGTGATTCAACACAAACGACATTGTCTTTTGGCATAATTTTTTTTAATTATCTTCAAAAACCACCAAACACTTGCCTTTGTTAGCAACCTCCCAGGCTATTTCAAAAAGGACGGCATCCTCTAAATCAAACTCCTCGTCCCATTCCTCCAGTCCTGACAGGGACGTGACAGACAGGCTTCGAGCCAGCGGCATGCTGGGTAAATATAGAAGACACTCCGCTGAGACGGGGACACCTTACAACCACACACACACAGACACAAAACGCAGTTATTTCCAAGCAGTTCACATGTACTTGGATACACGTTGCCAGCTTGTTTATTTCTGTCACACACTGATTTTAAACTCCTCATCTTTGATAAAAGCATGTCAAGTTTTTTAATACGTTGTCTAAATCATAAACAAAAGCCACTCTTAATCTTTAAACTTCACCAGGTTAACCTCAAGCGGCTTCAATGAGCAATTTCCTCTTAACCAACATCTCCTCACATAGCTATATGAAACCTTTACGCTTTCATTAAACAACACACCCGGTTGCATCATTCTTACGACATTACACAACTGGAATCCAAACTCAACATATCTCACTTCTTTTCACAAGTCTCATTTCCACACATTTCACCTCTTTCCCTGATATAAGATAAACCTGCAGCTGCTCTCACAGGAACCAAGCGCCTGGTCAAACAAACGCACTAAAGTGTTGAGTAACAGTAGTCTATCTTCAGGTTTCCTTGGGTCACCATCTAATAGAACCACAGGGCTTCTTCTTCACACATGCACAGAAATGCACATCACTTTGACAGAACATTTTATTTCCAAGCACTCCTGCACCTGCATCATTAGTACTGGACATTTAAAGGTCAGTCCTCTACTTTGAGTTCAAAACCGGGTGTTCTGTTCCTGCTTGTAGATCTGATGAAACTTCTGGCACAAATAATAATAATAATAATAATAATAATGGATTGGATTTATATAGCGCTTTTCAAGGCACCCAAAGCGCTGTACAGTTCCACTATTCATTCACTCTCACATTCACACACTGGTAGAGGCAAGCTACTGTAGTAGCCACAGCTGCCCTGGGGCAGACTGACAGAAGTGAGGCTGCCATATCGGCCCCTCTGGCCAACACCAGTAGGCGGTAGGTGTCTTGCCCAAGGACACAACGACCAGGACAGAGAGCCCCACAAAGTGGGGAGAGCCATGAGAACGGATAAACAGATAAGGACACTGATCAGGTATAAACTTGATCCTGTAGCAAATGTTGCTGATGATGAGCTACTGTAAAAAGCAATCAGCTGATGTTCATGCATGCAAACCAATAGCCTCTTCCACATGTTACAAAAATCCTGTCTGCGCTTTGATTTTTTTTTAAGGTAATTTTTTTTTTTACTGTAAGGAAGAAGATGATACTCAAATTCCAGCGTGTTTGCGCTGAGCTGCTACTGATAGCACTGAACACAAGGCTGACCCCGGGCACTCACAGACGGAGAAGCCTTCAAGTTGATGACAAACCAAACACTTAAGCTTTGCATAAATTTGCCTTCTTATTTTTTGGATGTAGCCCCTCGAAGATTCTGTTCTGATTGTGTTTTTATAGCGAGATATGAAAGGTCCTCAGTCCATCATCACCATGCTTTACACCGATCCTGAGCGTAAACACCTTACTGCTGAATTAAACTTTCTCTGGAAATCCACATGGGATTCCCCCCGGCTCTGTGAAGGGGTTCCTATCTGCCTAGGATTTCATTGTAAACCATCATCATCATCATCATCATTACCATCGTGACCTTGCTGACGTCCCTTTTAGTGAATAGAGTGGTTACTGCTCAGCAGGTCCACATTGCTGGGAAAAGGGCACAATGTCCCAAGACAGGCACGTCTTGAGACCCCAGGGAGCAACAACACGCCTGTGTGCGTGTCTATCGTGAGTTTCGGGGCGAACGTGACATGAAGCACCTACTGCATCACTGCTGCGGAAAAACACAGACGCCGCGTCCTGAACCGATGCGCGCACGCCTAGGATGTATTCTATTATCACCGGGCAGGCTGAAATAAAGATGTTCACTTACCCTTCAGTTTTGTCCCAACTTCACGAAGATGAAGCACGCATTGGCAGCTGTCGCAGTCCGTCCATAAAAATAATAACAGCGCAGAGTGAGAAGAAGAAGGGGGCGGCGGCGTTGGTTAAATGTCAGCGATTCACATTGGCCCGGTGCGCTCGGGTCGTGCGGAGGGACGGGACGCTCATGGCCTGCGATGCAGGAAGGAGGCTGGGTTGGTGAGCTTGGAGTCTCCGCCCACACATTATTCATGAGCTGCACTCCTATTGGCCCCTGGCTTCTCCGTGTCTCCGCCTTTTACATAAAACACCACAGGAACTGGGTGTTTTCCTCGGCGGGGACGTGCGATTGGCTGGGAAGTGGTTAAAGAGCTGCTGTTATTGGTGAACGAATGTTTTAGCCGCACACAAGAGGGGAGTCACGTACAGCAGGGAGCTTTTTCTAGTTTCCTGTGAGAAGGGGGAGAGCCAGAGCTATTTATAAGCTTCTCAGAGGGCTATAGTTTTTAAAAAATACAGTATGACTAGAGACATTCGTGGACTATCCTACCTATGGAGCTACTTAGAGGTATCAGATTAAAGTAAAACCTTGACCTCTCCATCCCTACAGTGAAGAGATCCAGTGGCTCTGTTATGCTGCGGGCGGATATTTGCTGGCATGTTGTTGAGAGAGGGGTCAGGGCAAACGGACACAGAGTAGTTCTGAGTGATCACATTGAACTTACTAAAAAGCATTTATAGTCTGATAGGAGTGGTCTTTTCCTGGACAGCAGTGCTCCTCCACAGGGAGTCACTGAATGGTGTGATGAGAATGTGAATCATATGCTATGGCCTCCACTAGATCCCAGCCACCACCGAACCCCTGTGGGAGACACTGGACCAGTGTGACGGTGTTCTCCACCACGCCGAAAATGATCTCTGCTGCCACTCTATAAATGTTGCTGCACACAATGAAGGATCTCAGCTTTCTTTAGGAATGCTGTTTTCCTATGTGTACAGTAAGAAACCGTACTATATGTATAGAGTATATTACTCTAACTGCAAAAGATTATTGGAAAATATTAAATCACTGCTATAATTCTTCTTTTGTAACTTCATTTAAAATAGTACACAGTAGTAGTGTATTGTAAATGCGAATACAGTAATAATACTGTAAAAGATGCATTTAAATGCCAGTACTTTACTGTAAGATACAACAATTTCAAATTTTATTTGTCACGTACACAGTCATACACAGTACGATATGTAGTGAAATGCTTGGACAACTGCTCGTGACCTAAAGAAAACAAAAAAGGAAAAGGCTATGAATAAGATAGGAAATAAATATGAAAAATTAAAAAGGGTAAATTTAACTAGGAAGGAATAAAATATAAATTAAGGTTAAAAATGAAATAACTGTACAACACAAATTAGAATGAAGGGTAAATTTAACTGGGAAAGAATAAGATAAAATATATAAATTGAAAATAAGTTGAAAATAAAATAACTGTACAACAAAATACACAATATAGAACTATATAAGAATGTATGAAGAAATATAAATATATATATACACAATAACAGCAGCTGTACAAGTATTAACTGGAAATGAAGAATGTAGTGACCAGTGTTGTGCAATCCATAACCTTTTCCCAGCACAAAATCATCAAACCACCAAAATGGAGAAAATATTTTGACTATAATGTTCAGTGCGCCCCAGGGTGGCTGTGGCTACAATGTAGCTTGCCATCACCAGTGTGTGAATGTGTGTGTGAATGGGTGGATGACTGGATATGTAAAGCGCTTTGGGGTCCTTAGGGACTAGTAAAGCGCTATATAAATACAGGCCATTTACCATATTTTTTAGCAGAGCTCCGAGGACGCTGGAAGAACCAGTACTAAAAGTGTTCTGCTGGCACGTGGTAACCTTACCCTTTACGAAAGCCACTTTACGTTTTTCTTTCATCTGTAGATTAGTACACTTCCTCTTGTCAACTCCAAATTGTGCAAAACAGCTTATCTCCAAACTATATTCTATTGCTCAATAATACATCTGCAGCAGTCATAGTTTAGAAAGTATAGTCTTGATTTAGTCCAGTCCATCACGTATTCGCTGGATGAGACTGTTGAGTTCAGATACAAGTGCAGACACTTTATCAGCCATTTCCTCCTGCCATGAGGATTTAACAGTTTTTATTAAAAGTGAAGTCATTTAAAGTGACAACACATATTATATATTCAGTCTGTTCTTATGAGTATATAAGAAAAATAAAGTAATTTATATCCATATATAGGCATGCATTAACTATTTAATACGTGTATAAGCATGCATGAATAAACAATTAACTAATTTGCCAATTCTAACTCAATTATACTACTTAAATGAATGAAGCATGCCAAATATCTATTTATCTGTCTATCTAAAAAAAACAAAAAACAGGAAAGACGGTTAAAAAAAGCAAATTTCCCTCCATTACTACTACGTACTATCCGACGTCATTTTGCCGGGAAAACACCGTCTTTTTCTTGCACTGGGTTTAGTCGAGTCGCGCTCAACTTCCTCTTTTATGCCGTTAGGTTTCCGCCCATTCTGTGACGTGGTTGGCCATTGCTTTATTTCTTAGCCTGGTATCTAGACGCAAAATTTCCGCGCGTTCGTCGGTGAAAGTTTGCAAATCAAAGAAGGGTGGCGGGAGCAGTTCTCAGTCCGGTTCTGTTGTGAGGAAGTGCCATTGTTAGGAGTTTAGAAGTTAGAAACGCAGCAGCCACTGATAAGTTTTCGTGGCAGATTTCACGGAAGGATTGCTTCTACAACTGGGTAAGATTAGCCCGAGGGCGCGAGACCTGTATGTGTTTATACCCGCGCGCTAGCTTACTGCCTTAGCTCTTACAAAGAAAAGAAACGTCCGTGTACCTTGTCATGAGGCTTTACTGCTCCATTATTGAGTGTCATATAATTTCATACCTTCCAGTCAAATGTTACATTTGAAAGTACGCCACTGACACGTGGATGAATTATCACAAATGTAGAGGTGAAGGGGACAGAGACCTGCACTGTTTGGATGTTAGGCTAACTGTGTAGTGTGCTGTGTGGAGCTACAAGGTGTGCGACAGCACTCACAGTAACATGGCAACAGGCTGTGCGGTGGGAAGGTTGTGGATGATTACTACTAGTCCCATGACTAATAAGCACCAGTTTGTTTTACTGTGTTTTTGACGGTCGGTGTCGAGACTGCATGTGTTCCCTTTTAAACTGTGTTCTGATATCGCTCCTTCTTATTGTAACTCTGTACATTCTACCTTTCACTTGTAAATACCCTCCAGTGCAGCTATAATGAGTTATTACTGAAAGCATTGCACTAATTTTATCTGTCACTGGCCTACATTACATATTTACTCATTATATGAGTATACTGATACAGATCAGGAGTAATATAGACTGAGCAAAGAGTCATACTTACAGGATTTTCCTTGCATAAACAATTTTGGTTCATTTCTGTTTAGAAAATGGTTAGAAGAATATGTTAAGTTAACTAAAACTCATTTTCCTAACTACACTTTGACCGCATGAGCTTGCACATTTAAGTGCTTAAACATATTACAGACTTTTAACCTCCAAGTTTGTTCCATAGATTTTTACCAAGTTTTCTTTAAATCAGCTTGCAGGCATGGATCATAAACGACACAACGGCAGCCGTCTCATGGGTGGTCCATCCCAGGCCAAACGGGGTAAAACAATGGGTGAATGGGAGGACAGTCCTTCGCAGTTTGAAGAGGAGTTGTCCATGTTTGAAGAAGCAGATATGGATGCAGAGGAAATGGAGGGGCAGGCGGGACACGATGTTATTCCAGTAGGTGAGTATTAAACTGCAAAGCGCACATTCACAGGTGATGTAAATGTTCTCATCACACAGGAGGAATTTAATGAGTTATTTAGTGACCTGTAGTAAAGTTACAGATCCCTCAAGCATGATAATTTAATTTCTTCTTCCATCCTGTCAGGTGACCTTTTCTCAGCAGACCTAAACCCTCGCTGGCGACGTCCTCCTGCCCCCTCACTGGACCCATCATCTGATACTCTGGTGTTCCAGCAGATTGATCTGGACTACTATTTGGGTAATTATCAAATATAATGTTTGTCAAAACTGCTTTTGCTCTAAATTTGAGTCCCAGAAATATCGACCTGGTGAGCTTGTAGCATGATATGAAAACATCCGAGCTGACTTACAGTTATATCAACCTTTCAGAGCATATTCGTTGTTGCTTATGAATATTGTGGTGTGTAATTTGGCTTTCAATGGTTTTGTGTCATGCAGGGGAAACGGTAGCGGGCATGCCCGGTCAGTCGCAAGGAAAAGTGCCAATCATTCGGATGTTTGGTGTAACAGACAATGGCAACAGCGTGTGCTGCCATGTTCACGGCTTTGCCCCTTACTTCTACGTCCCTGCTCCAAATGGTGAGTGCTTGTCATCATGTTGACTTTGCATTTATGTGGTATACTATGTTTCCTCACTATAAATAGCTTTAAAGTAGCTGTTACAGTTGTAACCTCTTCTCTTTGTTCTGAGCTGTCTAATTTCTGCTTTTAGGGAGAAAATAATAAAAATGTAATTCATGCTCTAAATCTAATGTTGCCCTCTGGTTGCTTTAATTGAAAAGGGTTCATGTCTGCTCACCTGGTGGAATTTAAAAAGGAGCTGAACTCTGCTGTCCTGAAGGACATGCGCTCCAATAAGGACAATATCTCAGTCACAGTGTTGGCTGTGGACATCACCCGCAAAGAGAGTGAGTACAAGTTTATTATTAAGTGGAAAAAAAACAAAAAAACAGAGTCTGTGAAGACAAGCACAAATGCAGATGTGTATTGTGATCAAGGTCTTGAACCTTGTTGGATAGCAACATTCAGTAATACATTAACTTTTATACTTTATTACTGTGTGTTACAATCTTATACGATTATAAAACAAAATGGTGTTCATTTGAGATGAAAACGTCACTTATCCCTCTTTTTGTTTTTGTTTTTTGTTTCTTTCTCACAGGCATGTATGGTTACCATGGGAAACGCATTATCGATTTCTTGCGGATAACCATGGCGATGCCTCGTCTCATCGCCCCCGCAAAGAGACTGCTGGAACAGGGCTTTAAGTTTGCCCATTTCCCTACCAGCAATTACCAATCCTACGAGGCCAACATAGACTTTGAAATCAGGTGTGTGTGCTTAAGAAAAAGGTACAAAATAATTTGGAAAACATGGTGGAGAGATGAAAATGACCGTTATCGTTTAAATACACAAAAGGAAGCTGTATCCTTTTTTGAAAATACCAAAAGAAACCGAAGGTTAAACTTATACTCACTGTAGCGTTTTGTTGATGCAAAAACACTGTTGAAATCCCAGCATTGTTAAAGTGTTCAAAGGAAGCCATTTATTGTAATTAACGAAGTTATGTGGATAAATGTTGTATGTAGAAAACTGCCAGTAAATTTAAAAAAACAACAACATTGTGTCTCTTTAGACTGTGTGTGTATATGTTCATGCATGTGTATGTGTTGTCAGGTTTATGGTGGACAGCAACGTGGTGGGTTGCTGTTGGATTGAGCTCCCAAAAGGGAAGTACAGAGTGCGCGAAGAGAAGAGCACGGGTAACACGAGTTCTCAGTCCCCAGGAAAGGTGGGTGTACAATCTCTCACGATGTTACCTTGGTCACTAGTTTAATTTCATGTTCGATCGTGCGGTTTTAATGTTTTTGTATAGGTAAATGGTGTTTGTGAACTTTGCCACTCTTGTTCTTTTCCTCCAGGCCTCCTTGTGTCAGTATGAGGTGGATGTGGGATGGAAGGATCTGATAAGTCACCCTGCAGAGGGAGAGTGGCAGAGGATTGCACCACTCAGAGTCCTCAGCTTTGACATAGAGTGCGCAGGAAGAAAAGGTGCTTTGTTTACACAAGAATTCTCTGGAGTTCTTACTCCGCGTTAGAATAACTGTTAAAACGTTATTTAAGCGCATGACCAAGGCTGGTCTAACTTGATGAAAATCAAATGACTCTGGTGTTGCCTCTTTACTTCCAGGAATCTTCCCTGAACCGGACAAAGATCCTGTGATTCAAATTGCATCTATGGTGCAGCGTCAGGGTGAAACGGAGCCCTTCATTCGCACAGTCTTCACCCTGCAGTCCTGCGCCAGCATCGTTGGCTCTCAGATACTGTGCTTTACACAAGAGACGAAGTTACTGCAGGTATACACGTGTACACTTAAAGCAGTGAAATGCATACATAGTTTGATATGGTTTCTTTGTTTCCTTTCAAGTCATATTTTTTTTTGTTTTGTGTCTGTATGAGCAGAGCTGGGCTGAGTTTTTGAGGACTGTTGATCCGGACATTATTACTGGCTACAACATCCAAAACTTTGACTTTCCGTACTTGCTCAACAGGGCAGCTGCTTTAAAGGTTAGATGGAGCTTCATTTATTTTAGTCCACTGACAAAGCCTGAAATATTCTTGAAAGATGAAGCTTCAACATGTATATTGACGATTTAATGGAAAAACCTAATTGCTCACTCGTTCCCGTGTTTATCCACTAGGTGATAAATGTTCTCTCATTTTCAGGTGAATTATTTTCCGTACTTGGGCCGAGTGCGAGGCATCAAATCAGTTTTGAAAGACTTGAATTTTCAGAGCAAGCAGATGGGCCGCAGAGAAAACAAGACCATTAACATGGAGGGCCGTGTTCAGTTCGACCTGCTGCAGGTCAGTACTTTCTCTTTCTGTGCAGGTCAACAAAGACATGCGGTACATTTTGTATTTGGGAATGTTGTTAGGGGAAGACTGAGCTTTGAGTTGGTGCCTTTTCTTTCAGGTTCTTCTCAGGGATTATAAGTTGCGCTCATACACATTGAACGCTGTGAGTTTCCACTTTTTGCAAGAGCAGAAGGAGGATGTGCAGCACTCAATCATCACTGATTTGCAGGTAAGATCAAGACAGCCTTGTTGGGAATTTAAAAAAACTATCTAATATTAATTTGTTTTTCCCTTTCTTCCTCTGTCACAGAATGGAAATGAACAGACGCGCCGTCGTTTGGCAGTCTACTGTCTGAAAGACGCCTATCTGCCCCTGCGCCTGCTGCAGAAGCTAATGTGTGTGATTAACTACATGGAGATGGCCAGAGTGACCGGTGTGCCTCTCACGTACCTGCTCTCACGAGGCCAGCAGATCAAAGTAGTCTCTCAGCTGCTGCGACAGGTAACAATGCCGAAGCGAACATGGCTCCTGCATTTGCATACCTGGGATTTGGAAACTGAGTGCGTGTTTATGTTTAGGCCACAAAACAGGATCTGGTAATGCCCGTTGTAAAGACAGAAGGAGGCGAGGACTACACTGGAGCTACTGTCATTGAGCCAGAGAAAGGGTAAATGCATCTATGTTTGTGTCAGTCCACTGTTGTCTTCACGTGTTACATCTGCAGCCTTGTCATGTAATTTTCTACCCTGCTCTCTTCCGTGTAGATATTACAGCCTTCCCATTACCACATTGGATTTCTCCTCCTTGTATCCGTCCATCATGATGGCTCACAATCTGTGCTACACCACTCTGCTGCAGAAAGGCTCAGTGGAGAAACTGGGGTAAGCAATTTTCTTTTTAGGTGATCCTGTGGTGTAATGGTTTATGCATTCTCCTAACAAGCAAAACTCAGGATTCAGAGATTCTGAGATTTGCATCCCTTTGGGGTTGTCTCAGGACAGAGAACCAGCGTTAAAAGTCAGCCAAATAAAGCATGCAGACAAACAAGCTTAATGTGTTTTGTCTACTTCCATTGAAAACTACAAAAATTATATTGAACAGTATTCAAAGGGTCATGTGAAACTAACAAAGCAATTGAATTTATAGGTAGGCTTCTTTAGCTAGTTTAAGGCCATTAACCAAGTTAAGATCAGAACAGTTGTGCACGATGTGAATTCACTTTATTCATGCACTGTTTATATTATATTTGAGTGAAAGCTGAGTCATTAACCGATTGTATGTGTTCAGCCTGGCTCCCGAGGACTTCATCAAGACTCCAACAGGCGATCTCTTTGTGAAGAGTTCTCTAAGAAAGGGACTTCTCCCAGAGATCCTGGAAAACCTGCTGTCTGCCCGAAAGAGGTTTGAATTGTTTAAAATCAATCACAGAAACTGTTTGGACTGGAATGACGATCTTCCAAAAGCTGTAGAAGAAGAGTTGAGTTGGAAATAGTTGATCTATGAGTTCACAACCTGTGTGATCCCACCGTCTGTCTGCAGGGCCAAAGCAGAGCTAAAAAAGGAAACAGACCCCTTCAAGAAGCAGGTGCTGGACGGCCGACAGCTGGCCCTCAAAATCAGCGCGAACTCTGTGTATGGCTTCACGGGGGCCCAAGTGGGCAAACTGCCCTGCCTAGAGATCTCACAGGTCAGCGCTTTAGATCGGATGACTTGTTTTGGACATCAAATGTTCACAATTCAGGATCTGCAACACTGCATTTGTCAGTCTAAACCAGGTTGCCTTCATTAAACTACTTTGCACAGTACTTTGTATTGTGCACAGATGTAAACAGAAAACATCAGAGATGTAGGGCAAAGATTAGTGTTGAAAAAGAAACCACAGAACAGGTGGAGAAAAATGTTACCCTACCCCCCTGAAAAAATACAAAAACAAAGACTTTCTGTAGGTGATAGCTGAACTACAGTGATCTCAGTTTCAGGCTGTTTTGTGAGAAGATCTTTTCCCTAAACATCAAAACTTCTGACCTGCAGTGTGGCTGAAATGCTAAATGTTTTTCCAGCATCATTGGTAATTTAGTGATTTAAATGCATTGAAATATTGCATTTTGTCTCATCCAGAGTGTCACTGGTTTTGGAAGACAGATGATTGAGCAAACCAAGCAGCTGGTGGAGTCTAAGTACACACTTTCCAATGGCTACCAGGCTGACGCCAGGGTGAGCCCAGTTATGAACCAATCTCTTATTCCTTGATGATCTGATGTATCAAAAACACTTGACACGTTATATGTTTTGTTGTCCTGTTCAGGTAATTTATGGAGACACGGACTCTGTCATGGTAAAGCTCGGAGTTGCAACAGTAAAAGAGGCCATGGATATCGGGAGAGAGGCGGCCGAGTGGGTATCATCCCATTTCACACCACCCATCAAACTGGAGTTTGAGAAGGTACCGGTTCAGTCCAGAAATGTCTTCTCCGACTTCTCTACATGTGCACTGCTTAAAACACTTGGTCTCGATATTTTTGTCCTGTTAGGACAGATGAGCCATTGTGAAACAGTTTCAGCTGTTTTGGTGCAAATGAAAGTGACAATTAGTGCATGCCAAAGGCAACAACAAGATGGCCCCCAAAAAGAGAAGTGGTTTTTCCAGGTGGTGGTCACGGTCTCTCCTCTTTCCTCCTGACTGGTTTTACAGTCTGTTACACAAAGCACACATAGAAGATTCTGAGCCCAACAGCAGCACTGTCATCTGCTCCTGGAGGAACAGGCTTCATGACCATGGTATAAGGGTCTGACAGCTTTTACTGTGACCTTTGCATATAGCCCAGTGGCGTGCAGCTTGAGTGGTATTTGCCGGGGAATGACAGAACTGGCAGATCCAAAAATGGCTGAAGAAGCTGAAGTTGCTTCAGCAACATTTGTAGTATGAAGAACAACTTCATTCTTTGACCAGTGTGTTTTGGCCTGTAGACTCCATCAGGATCATCAAAAATACATGTAGGAAAACTGATCATATACAGTACATCCGGTACGCATGTCCACCAGTTCACTCAAATGCATGACTGTGGAAAACTTTCTTTTGATTGAGGGGGAAAAAATGTAAATACCTATTTGCTACCAGTGGAGCAACAGCAAGGATGTGCTGGGTGCAAGGCCAACTGGGGAGCGACCAGTGTAAAAATGTGATGGAATCATGTTTGTCTGTCTTGAAGTTCTTAGTTTTGGTGTGAATGTAGTTTAATAAATAACAGCTGCAGATCTATTTATTTATCTTTTATATCTTGTAAATATTTGTCTCTGCATTTTACGCCCACTTTATTCGCTGCAAATACAATCTAGTCATGCCACGACATGCGCTTCATACCGTTCATGCTGCAAATGTTGCTGGCGCCTCAACATCGGTGCAGGTTAAATGAACAGACTTGCATCCCTTAAGCTGAAATAATTTTGCATTATGCTGTGATGATTAAGTGTTCCCCTTAATTTATTTAAGCAGCCTGTTATGAATCTGGTTAAACACTGTTATGAACGGCAGTGTGACTGTATGACAGAAACATGCAGCTGCAAGGCAGGGTTCTAGTTTTCAAACCTCAAATGTGATTCAAATGGATTAAGATGAGGTGATCTGAAGATCTTAATGTTCAAAAAGCACTGACCTATTACCTGAAAAACTGACTCTGCAAGATAATAAAGTCCCGAACAGTTTTGTAGCCTGTTGTTGTCACTGAAGCAGGAACTGCCCCCCCAACTCCAACAGGGGGCGCTCATATTATGGCTTTATTTCATGATGCAGGTCTGTGTTGTGAATATAATTGGCCACATAAAAATAAAAACAAACACTACAAAGTTCACTTTCACTTTGTGATTGAAAATTAGTTTGCATTGAGAGTTTGGTTAATTTGGAATGACCTTCATTATTTTACCTTTGCTGTGGTGCATATCAGATAATTAGAAAGATAATTAGATGGATTTTTTCTTTTTCAATTGTAACCAAGCAGTACAAGCCAGCAAGTAATTTCCAGTATTTACCAGATTCGCGCTGTTCAGCACAGTCCAGGACTGTGTGTCATGTTTCAGTTCTGCTGCCCGATGTTTGGCCTTTTGCTTTCTGTATGTGTCACGGTCTTCCTCTATCCTGAGTCCTAGTGAAGGTCTAAAGGTGACCGGGGTTTGCAGTCAGGTCCTCTTAGCTTAGACCTGATGCTTTCAAAGAGCTGTTGTATTAATTATGTCTTTATTAATATTTCACCAGGTGTACTACCCATATCTGCTGATCAATAAGAAGCGCTACGCAGGCCTGTATTTCTCCTCCAGTGCAAGCACGCATGACAAAATGGACTGCAAAGGTATTGAGACCGTCCGCAGAGACAACTGCCCTCTGGTGGCTAACCTCATCAACACCTGTCTGCAGAAAATCCTCATAGACAGGTAAACGCATACTCTGGCTGCACTCAGTTTATTTTGTGGAGTCCAGAAATAAGTCATGATTTCTAAACTTTGGACTTAATTTGCTCAGCTCTGTCTTTGACAGTCTGGTTGATTATGAACCAGAGATGCTGACATGGCTTAAAAACAACAACCAGAGCTGTTGTGATGTTTCTTCAGGGATCCCCAGGGGGCCGTGGAACACGCCAAAGAGGTGATCTCAGACCTGCTCTGCAATCGCATCGACATCAGCCAGCTGGTCATCACCAAGGAGCTAACGCGCACTGCCCAGGAGTACGCTGGCAAGCAGGCGCACGTGGAGCTAGCAGAGAGGTCCGATTGGTTGATAACTAGATACCAAGATGTCTTCCTTCAAATAAGATGTTAGAGAAAAAAACGTTTAAGCCTTTAAATCTGATTTACAGGATGAGGAAAAGAGATGCAGGTAGCGCCCCCAACCTGGGAGACAGAGTCCCATATGTCATCATCAAGGCTGCGAAGGGAGCAGCGGCATACATGAAGTCAGAGGTGTGTAGGGCGTGTTGATGTTTCATCTGTTTCTTTCTTAGTGGAAACATTCAGCTTTGATAATGATCCCCATACCACATTTCCATTCAGGACCCCATCTACGTGCTGGAGAACAACATTCCCATTGACACACAATACTACCTGGAGCAGCAGCTGTCCAAACCTCTGTTGAGAATATTTGAGCCCATCCTGGGAGAGAGCAAAGCAGAAAGCATCCTGCTCAGTAAGTCAGCACACCTGACCAAGTATTTTAACATGTATGGAAAATACAAGTTTAAAAAAGTTAACTGAAATAAAAATAAGAACTAGACTTTCCAAAAACCGTTATTGTGAACATAATCGTAAGAGGTGTGATGTGTTACTGTGAATCTTATCGTTGCTCTTTGGTGATGTGTTTCAGAGGGCGACCACACACGCTGTAAAACTGTGTTAACCTCAAAGGTTGGAGGCCTCATGGCGTTTGCTCAGAAGAGAAGCACCTGTATTGGCTGCAAAGCTGTGCTCAAGACAGATGGTGTGTGTGTGCAATTTCCACCTTCTTTACTTCAGCTGGTGTTTTGGAAAATGACAAAGCTGGAAGTTTTGCACATAACATGTAATGTGCATCTTTGCAGCGGCCGTGTGTGATTTCTGCAAGAAGAAAGAATCTGAGCTCTACCAAAAAGAGGTAAAGTGGCAGAGCAGAATAGCTCTGCTCTATCAGAGTGTCGGGAGATAAAAACAAAACCAATAAAATTTAGGTCTGTCTTAGTGCATTGCTAATTAGTCCACATTATCACCACAGATCTTTCACCTGAATGCGCTGGAGGAGCGTTTCTCTCGCTTGTGGACTCAGTGTCAGCGCTGTCAAGGCTCACTCCATGAAGATGTGCTGTGCACCAGGTGTGTATATGAATGACATGATCATTTTCATGATAACGGACAACGGTTGATTGGTTTGCAGCAGAATTACAATAACGCTGTACCCGCTGTCTCCTCTGCAGCCGGGATTGTCCGATCTTCTACATGAGGAAAAAGGTTCAGAAAGACCTGGACGACCAGAGCAAGCTGGTGTCTCGTTTCGGATGGTGAGGGAGACGCTAGCTCGCTGCGATCGCTCATGTGCCTAATTTCAGACGACCTTTCACTGTATTTTCTTTTGTTAAAAAAAAAAGAAATGCATATATATGACTATTTTTTTTTTTTTATGTTTTCTAATATGAATAAATGACAATAAGTAGAGTTTTGTAAAATAAAATCAAAAAAGAAATTGTGGTTTTTACTCACTGAACATTTAAAAGGGAATCTCATTAGAAGTGATGAATCAACACGTCAACAGCGTCACATCTCCAGTTTCTGAATGACCCTGTTCAGCTGTGTACGTACTTACACACCCGAGTCTTTGACATCAAAGTGCATAATTTCACAGAAATGAAAAGGGGAACTTGATTACCTTCAGCACTTTGTCTCAGTCAAACCTCAAACCACAGCCCTTCCTCCCCACTGATTTTGCACTTCAGAAGAAAAACCCGTAAATATAGTTGCAAGCGGCAACGGGAGAGCAAAGCAGGTCTGGGGAAACCGCTAGTACAACTTCATGTTCAAAAGCGCTGATAGGTAAAACAATTTTTTACTTTTTTCTTTTCCTTTTTTGAGAGCTGACACAATGTTTGGTGAAAAATCAGTCTGATAACTTCTGTGAGGCTTGGTCTGAAGATCACCTGTGCAAGTGCAGGTGACGCTTTCTCAAGGCAGGGCTGCCAAAAAACCTCTTAAACGTTGGAAATTTACATCATAAGCTGCATCCTAATTCAGGTACATGCACCTGTTGCCTATCAGTTATTCCCTCTCAAAAGCCTGCAAGTAACAATTATATGAACAAAACGGACACCATGTAAAAGCTGAAGACTTTTACTCGTTTCTTACAGCAGAGCGCATTACAGATTTACAACGTCTTACTCAGTTAACCTCCTTGATCATATAATAATCATATATGCATTAGGCAGTCAGAGCCCTCTGGTTAAGACAATTAAAAAAGTAAAAATCCTACATGGATGGATTGACTTGTTAGCAAGATGCAACTCCCCTGAAGTTAGTTCACTGAACAGTGACGTCGTTTTTAGTAAATACACAGATGCTGGTTTTTAAATTGTCGGATGTTTGTAGTTCAACAGAAAAATGACCACACCTCACGAGTGTTCCTGTGCTCGACATGTTTTGTGTAGTACCACAGCGTTGTTTTCACAAACTACATGCTGTGGTGGAGTTTGGTGTCACATAAACAGTGTTTGGACACAGTAATGAACCCCTGACAACACTAGCACCGGCAAAATAACTGTTAAAAATGGACTTTGGAGTCAAGTGTGAATGTTCACACCAATAACGGCCTTAAAAAAATGACGAGCAGAGGAATCAGATCGTCCGATTTTTCTCTGTTATAAATCAGCGTCTGATTCGACGCTGTATTCCTGAGTAGCTTTTAAAGTAGCACTAATTCTAAAATCTGCATTCACCACACAACAGGAAGTGACTAAAGTGCACCTGGGAGTTTGAAACACAGTTTTGAGGTTTGTTAACGGGGAAATCCTACAAGATTTTTTTTTTCTTTTAGAAAAAAATTAATTCAAAAGTAAATAATGCTGATGTGTTTCAAGCCCCAGAGACTGCACCAACCTATTTGTATTTTAAAAAATGCACACAAGGGGAACGATTTTAGAAAAGGTTTTGACTAACTACGTTTCCATGGTAAAGTGGTCTCACAGGAAAAAAATAAAACAACCTCCAAACTCTCCAGCTCACTTAAACAGTTTCCTCATGAAGTCAAACACTGACCATTCAGCAAATTTTATAAAAAAAAAAAGTGGAAATGTGCTGAGCACTACAATAACAAATGGAAATGTGACAGTGTAAAGTGCAGTGATGCATTACCGTGAACTCCTGACATCTAAATGGTCAACAGAAGCTAAAAATGACCCACTAAACTCCAATAAAACCACATTTAAAAAGTACACTTTCCCAAACGCTGCTAAATTGACACTGCACATGAATGTATGAATAACAAACCTTGTGAATACACACTATAACTGGAAACTTTAACACCAATAAAAATAGATGTTTTTTCTTTCCCCGCATGTCTACGTCCTTGTGTGGAGGTGTGTGCGATGTCTCCAAGGTGCAGGGGCAGTTGTGGGGATGAGGGGAGGAAGAAACAAGTGCTGTAAGTGATGCTGGCTCTGTGTGTGGTTTGCTATAGTATCATGCAACGTCTCTGAGTGTTCTTCTTGCTCTTCTTGTTGCTGCGGTTGGTCTCCTTGTATCTTCTGATCTCCCGTACTAGAGAATAAAAAGCTTCCTCCACACCCTGCAAAATAGAGAAGAAGCCGATTCGACGTTTCAGGAGGTTTTATTCAGGAACACAAGAATGGATTGATGAGTGCTGTCGACAGGTTACCGTTACCTGTCTGGTTTTGGCGGAGGTCTCTACAAACGGCACGCCGTAGCTCCTCGCCAGCTCCTGCGCCTGCTGCGTCTTCACTGTGCGGGTGCTGAGGTCGCTCTTGTTCCCCACGAGCACCATGGGGACGCTGTCACTGTCCTTCACCCTACTGATCTGCTCTCTGAGGAGAACACACGCGACAGAGCACGTTGCAAACGCTGGTCGATCAGTTCAGACTGACGATATTATTCAGCAGGTCAGACTGAAGACCTGTGGTCTTTTTAGTTTTATCATTTGCAGACAGAATAATTTAGTTGGTGTTGCAACACTCGCTGGGTTCTGTGTGTGTTACACTTTTTATCTGTGGCTTCCCTGTTTGCAACGTTTTATATTTACAAGTCAAAACATTTTTGGAACAGTTACGAAATCTACAAATGACCCCACACAAATTGCAGAAACGCTAAGTTTATCTGCAGATATTTGGTAGACAAGTAAGTGCAGTTCTCGCTAAACAGGAAATAGCCTTTGAGTGCCTAAATGTGCACAGTTGAGACAGCTATGCACAGCTGTCTTAAATCTCTGTGTGACTGAAATAAGGAATTAGTCCTACTTGGAGACTACTGTTTGAATTCTTTGTCCAGCTGTCTGTGCTGGCGTGAACCCGCGAAACTTCCTTTACCTGTAAAGGTGAACGTCCTCAAAGGACTTGCTGTTGTTGATGGCAAACACACAGAGGAAGCCTTCTCCCGTCCTCATATACTGGTCCCTCATGGCGCTGTACTCCTCCTGACCTGCAGTGTCCAGGATGTCCAGCAGACATGTCTCTCCATCAATCACCACCTGCTTTCTGTACGAGTCCTGCAAGACAGCACGAGTTAGGCTGCAATGCATCATCCTGAGTCTCACGCTGCTGCATCATGTAGCAACAAGATCTTGGTGATTTTGAAATCAATGTGCTCAAGTGTGAATATTTTATAAGCAATTATGGAATCGCACCATTTACTGGCATGAAGGCTGACGTTTATTTACACGGGATAAATTAGAACGTGACAGTTATTTGCAGGTAAGATGATTATATTTTTATCAAATATTGCCATCTTTAAACTAGAAGGTTATCCCGAGGACATGAGCTCTGCTGAGGCAAAAGGTCTGTTTAACAATTTTAAATTAAAGAGGATTTGCACAGAAATTTAACGGATATTTGCTCATCCCTTGCCCCAATGCATCACCTCTTCATCTTGGTGTTTCATGCACAGTCTTGCTGACAAAGCTGCACGTCCAGTTCTTGCCTTGGCAGAGGACTACAGTGTTAGAAGGTTTTGGGCAGGTTTTAACAAGGTTTCTGGCCTGACTGTGACAGCAGCAGTCCACGTGGTGACGTACACCATTTGCAGACACAAAATATATAAAGACTGTGAATCTCTTAACAGAAAAACATGAAATTAAATTGTGTTAAAATCAGCTCAGTGTTAAACAAAAACACTTTAAAAGATTTGTTAAGCGGTCGTGCAGCAGGAATAGCAATCCTGTGATGTAACTGCACTATTGTAAAACTAAAATCTACATTAATCTGATTCTTTTTAATATGCAATGGCGATACTTAAAAGAAACGCTCCTTCTGAGGGCATAAACTGGGACTTTGCTTGTGTTGGATACTCAGTTTTATGGACAAACATTTGCCAGAAATGAAAAGAATTTATTAAATAAACACGGGATCCTTATAACTGCTCCAAGCGGCAATTCTTCCAACAACACCGGGACATATCAACCATTAAAACCGGACTAATTCTGATAGATAAAATAAAAACCTGATTAATAACACATCTGTAGCACTAATGAGCAGTACGGATGCTAGTTAAGCGCCAGATTAGACTATGTATTACAGCACTTTGCGTCTGCTGGTCACTTACCTCGATAGTTGGATCGTATTCATCCACAAAGTGGTTCTGGATGAGCTGGATGGTGAGAGCGCTCTTGCCCACACCTCCTGCCCCGACCACCACAAGTTTGTACTCGGTCATACCTGCAGAGAATGAAGCCAACAGGTGACCATTAAGACATCTAATAATTTGCCCCCTTCCTCACTGAGCTGACATGGCGAAGAAGACACTGACTGACCCAGATTTATCGGCAGACATTTAAAGTCTTTCTTTTTTTCTTTTTTTTTTTGCAAAAATGTAGAGTCGACTGAAATGATTACCAAATGGAGACATAAACTGCTTGGCTTACCTTTGTGAAGAAGTTATAACGGCGTAAAGTGAAAACGGAGTTTTGGACTAGATAAATGAGATTAGCTCGCTACATAACGTTAGCCTGATTTCCTTGTTTTAGACACTTGTAGAAACACTTAAGGATGTGTCCAGAACTTTCTTATCTGACCCGCGCGTCCAAAAAATATTGAAGTAAAACTGTTGAGCCACTAGTAAAAATCAAAATTTATGTTATTAAATAATTAAAATCCCAGATTCGTTCGAGTTCCTACTTATTCTTCATTGTCGTTCATTGGAAGTAGAGCGTTTTTTCTTTACGTTAATCCCCGGGTGAAGCAGCCTATGAGACCACAGCACGAAGACGGACATCTTAACTGTCCAATCACAGCAGGGAACTGGTTCGTGACCTCGCCCAGAGTTGCTGCGGTCCAATTATAAAAAGGTACGGCTTAAAACGGGCGTGGTATTTAAAAGGCAATCTTCCTCGAAATGCTCACAAAGAGAACTAAATTTAATTTGAATACCGAACAATACGACGTTATACGTCCAAAAAACAAGTTTGAAGCAAACAGCAGCTTTGTAAATGCTCAAAGTGCTTATGGGAAGTGTTACGATATTTAACTCGGCACTATACAGTACATGTGTGGTCATTGCCCCCTTGTGGCCATATTGAGGAACTGCAACAGCAAATTAGTTAATGCACAATAACTATGTAATTATTAATACAGCAATTATTATATTAATAAAATCCTTTAAAAACCATAGTTAAAAACAGCAACATAAATAAAATAAAATAATAGTAATATGGGAATATTATTTTTATGTCTCCCAAATGACATTTGGATTTCGCAGACCTGTTGCAGTTCAACCTGGATAAAAACTTTTAATTTTAGGTTTATAGGGAGAGTTACAGACAGACAAGAACTGCACAGCACACTCAACAAATCATCAAGTGGGATAGAGACACATATTCTTTTACTTGCCTTTAAAGCGCTTTACTTCATGCAATACCTTTCTTTAGGAACACTTAGATTTTTTTTTTCGATTTTTTTTATTAGTGGTGTGTCATGGTGTTGATTTGTTTTACGTTTTATTATCTCGTCTTATTATCTATATTACACACCTACACAAAAATATTTTATTTATTTCTCGGGTAAAGCTGGGGGAGTCACTGCTGATTGTCAAATCACTGGTAGTAGCTATAATCATTGCTAGTCTTTATAATTTCAAAATTAAATTATCAAAGACAACCAGCAGTACCATGTGGCAATAACTTTTAACTGCTGGTAATCTCCAAAGTTGAAAAATATGGGTCTTCACAGCAGGTTGCTTTCCTGTCTGACATCCCCAAGGGGAATTTCTGTCTCTTGCAGGAATTGAGCTAGCAACCGTTTGCTTGGTAAGCAAACGTGTGTTAACCACTACTCTATCCCTAAAGCTGGAGTCACTGAACTGGATTTCTAGCCATGTTTGTAGTGGCATTTAATGGATCATCTGACAATTATTTATGATTTGCTGCGTGGTACAGCTAGTCCAAGAACTTCGCACTAGTGGTTTCATATTTCCATGTTTTATATTCTTTGTTTTACACCCTTACCATCTGTAGTACAACCCCAATTGCACATTTTTTAAAATGTGACACTGTGTAAACTATGGATGAAAAATGGAAGGCAATAATTTGCAGATCATCACCCCCAAATTCTGAGAAACAAGAGAAATCTCTGTGTGCAAAGAACAAGACCAAAAGTCAAAGTTGATCAAGACCACAGGTTGCACTGCATTAAAAACAGGCATGATTCTGTCATTGATATCACTGCATGGACCCAGAAACACGTACAGAAACCATTGTCTTTGAACACAGTTGGCATCCAAAAATGCAATTTAAAGCAAAGAAGAAGCCACTGAAAGTGAAATTCTTTGTGGAAAACATTTGCATCTCAGACTAAAGAGGAGAAGGACCTCCAATAGTATGGAGTAACATTGTAAATCCTGTGGAATTACACATCTAGAATGGCATCATCAGTGCTAAAAGGCAGGCTTCACAGCAACATCCAGATGATATTCTTTTAAGGGATGTATGTTTCAGCAAAACAATGCTAAACCGCGCACTGCATCTATTTCAGCAGCATGGGTTCCTAGCAGTGTTGGTCAAGTTACTTGAAAAAAGTAATCAGTAACTAATTACTGATTACTTCCCCCAAAAAGTAATCCCGTTACTTTACTGATTACTTATTTTCAAAAGTAATTAATTACTTAGTTACTTTTTAAAAACACGATTTACAACCTGAATAGGTGATAAAGTGATAGATCTTTCAGCCCAATTCTACTTTTTCTGCATAATCCATCATACAAAATGTAATCAAATGGAAAAGTCTCCTTTTTAACTTGTTTTATCAGTTTTAATCTTTTAACTTTATGCATCAAGTGAAAATTTAATTATATGCAACATTCTGACTTGAATAAATTAGTTTAACATTGAAACCTATTTTCTACACATTCCAGCACATAAAATAAAATGTTTTTTGTGTTTACACTCAGTCTTTCAAATAGATGCAAGTAAAACACAGCAGAAAATAAATAATGTCAAAGACTCAGCGGTCCTTTTGCTCTATTTTCACCTGTAAAGCAGGAGTAGGGTAGGCGGAGGTTTACCCTGGTGCAGGTGTGCCGCGGTCAGTTGAAGAATCCGCGAGTTTCTCTGTGAGTTTCCCATTACGTTGTTGCGCACTCGGTGCTTGCTTGGAAGTTTAGGGGTTTTTTTCGGTGTAAAAAGAAGTTTTCTTCCCACGCAGTGAGCAGCGGACGCTAATGTTTTTGTCACTTTTTATGGAATCAAACTCAAAGTAAGGTCAGTACTTCCACGCTTTAAACGCCGCACGCTCATACTCTCTCCCACAATCGATATGATCTGCACACAGCTGTTGTCACTAACGACGCACTCGCTTACGTCACTGTCGTGAGACATTCTCGCAAAAAATCACGGTTTTAGTAACGCAGTAACGCAGCGTTCCTACGGGAAAGTAACCTAATTACCGTTTTTGCAATAGTAATCCCTTACTTTACTCGTTACTTGAAAAAAGTAATCAGATTACACCATCTTTGGTTCCTAGTAGAAGAGTATGGGTGTTGAACTGGTCTGTGTGCTGTTCAGATCAGCTGAAAACATCAGGAGCATTAAACAAGAAATACGACAAAGAAGATCCAAGTCTGTTGCATAGCTAGAATCTTATTTTAAACAAGAATGGGACATCATTCCTCATCTGGAAGTCTAGCAGCGGATCTTTCAGTTTCCAGATGTTTATCGATTGTTGTTAAAAAAAGAGGTGGTAAACATGGCCCTGCCCCAACCTTTTTTCAAATTCTACATTCAAAATTGCCCTATTGTGTTTGTTAAAATGGTACATGAGATTTTTTTAAAATAAGATTTGCAAATCATTGCATTCACTTTTCATTTACATTTTACACAGAGTCCAACCTTTGTTTTGGAGTCAGGGTTGTAGAATTTTGGACCTGATTATTAAAAATCACGAATCTTTACTGCCCTCTAGTGTTCAAAGCAACTTTTAAACCCTTGAGTTATGTCAATGTAGGCAATACTTCCGGTAAATTCTTTTCAAAATAAAGAACCAACTGAACCGTTAATAAAGGCGCTGACTGAGTGGATTTTAAATTATTAAAAGATGACGATGAAAATTGCTTGGGGAGATTATTTCAGCTCCGTTGGAAACAGAATGATTTTATAATTGTAACAATAAAAAATGCAGAACTCAATTCTTTCAATAGAGCAAAAATAAATACGTTATTGCGGCGAATCGTTTATTTATTTATTTTTTTTATTTACAAGCGCTTTAGAGGAAGCGGCACCGCACATACAAACAGGCGTGGACAGGCCCTGCCTGATCCATCATGCTCACTTCCCTTGTCTGTGACGTCCATGTTTCCCCCTCACTCTCCCACTGAGTGCATCTGCTGTCCTATCTAATCTTTGCCTAAAATCACAGCGATAATCCTGCATCCATCTGTTCCGAGAGAAAGAGAGAGAGTGAAAGACAAAGCACCGACAATCTGAAAACCAACACCATTTTAATGCGTCATCATGTTTTAGGTGATAAAATCCCGATGACACAATTGCACTGAAATAGTGACATCATCTTAAATTGCTTGAATTTTATTATACACAAGGTTATCTCACATGTACACTTTTTTACATAAAATATTTTCCATATATTTGCATTTTTAAATACAGATCTTTTCTTGTCTTTTTAATTTTTTTTTTTTTACACCAAGTCCCACCAGATAACCACACATTTCATTGAGGATGGGAAGGAAAACATTGGAGCAGCCATAAACTGAGACAAAGAAGAAAAAAGCAGATCAAAGATACACTGATACAACACGCACAAAATGAACTTGTTCACAGTTATCATCATTCACGTCTTTAAGACTTTTCACTCAAAAAATGGCAACTGACCTTTTGCACTTTTTTTCTTGTAATTATTCGACACAGCAACACATTTAAAAACTAAACCCCCAAGTGAATCAAACACGTCCTTTTTAAACAGTCCAGCACTGCAGTTTTATCTCGCAAACATGACCCACTGAGTACCACCAACAGATGTACTGTCTGTCAGCACGAACAGATGCAGGAGTGGTGTGTGTGTGTGTGTCTGTGTGTACACAAGTCCAGTACTACTACAGATTACCTCGCCCGTATGTGACTGTACTCCATTTCCCAGCTGCCAGTGCGCTTGACAGGCAGGAAGCTGAGGTTCTCTACTCTTACAAGATATAAGTGAAGCTGAACTTCACACATTCTCTAATAATGTTCGCCTATCAAACTCTGTCTGCACGATTCACTGTGCACTCGCATGAAATTAGCCCCCCTGTGTGTGTTTGTGTGTAAAAGGGAAAATATGAGGGCTGGCACAGTACTGCACCACTGTGTCCATTAAATATGCTCACTGCACAACTTTTCAGCACCTGCACCCAACACAACAGCACACTTGCTGTCACACACACACAGACACACACAGTCGATCTGAAAAGCTTGGATTTACCCGCACAAACACGACTGATGTTGAGAGAAAGATAAGACAAGGAGGAAAAATGGAGGGAGAGGCTGCCAGAGAAACAAGAAAAGGCATAAACAGAAAGTGCTGCGAGGCCTGGGAGTGTTATAAATATGTACCAAGCTGAGGGAGACTATACACACTGAATAGAAAGTGGGAATTGTCAGATGATTACTGGCGACTGTGACCTGTAAGCGTGGCTGGACATGAGATGCAGTGAGAAACTGTAGGCGGCAAAGTCAAGCACACAGGTGAAGGGAAGTTTTACAGCTTTACACTCATCTACGTACAACTTTACAACACCTAAGCACCTTTTTTCTTTTCACTTTGATTAGGAAGTTTGAAAGTTAAACTCAGTGGCGTCGTGGCTGGTGGCGTCTGTTTAGTTTATCTGGGAGCTTTGAGAGCTTGGATTTGGTGATGAATTCTGCATTGAATAGAAGTGTGAGGTTTTTAAAACTGAGGCTCTGAAGGTGCTTTCCCAGCAAAATAAAAGTAAATGCATGACTCACACATAAAAAATTAAAAACAACACAATCCCAGTGGCTTCAGCAAGTTGCTATACAGGCCCACAACTCTCTCGCTCTTTCTGTCTCTCTCTCTCTCTCTCTCTCACACACACAATTAATTATAATTTAATCAGCTGTTAATTTACCATTTGTCCACAAAGGCTTTTAGAAAGTGTTCCAAAAACAGAAATCTGGAAGATTTAAAGCTTCTGATTTCTTTCAATGTCCCAAAGTCCTCTCAATTCCTGTCCAGTTTGGGGCTAAAGTTGTCGAAAAAATGAATTTCCACCATCCACTAGTTGGTTCCTCAGAGTATACTCACTCTTTGTTGAATATCACATTATTGCTGATTGCAAATATCTTATTTCACCTCGGCATGTTTGTGTGTATTGCCTCATCTCATTCTTTTCCATTTTGCTGAAAAAAGTCCCATTAAAAGGTGATTCTGTTGCCTCAGTGTATGATTCTCCAGCTTGGATAATGAAGCCGCCAGAGACCAACATTCATAGCAGAGTTAAATCATTTCTCTCTCTCTCTCTCTATCTCACAAACACACACACACACACACACACACACACACACACACACACACACACACAGGATCTCCTAGTTGCGGATACAGAACTCCTGACCAATCACAATGAGCATCAGCATCAGGATGTAAGATGAGTTCTGATGAAGATGAAATCAGTTTTTTTGTGTAAATTTAGCACTCTGCATGCACATGCTTGCACACGCACACTGTCTCTCTCTCTCTCTCTCACACACACACAAACACACACACCTACAGTGGAATGAATCTGATCCACTCTTTTGATATGTGCTGCTATAAATTTTAAGAAGCACACAGCAGGTCTGTTCAGTGACTCTCTTGCAGTCGTTCTCCAGAAACACCCTTCCTCTTTCATTTTTTTTATCTTGTTATTATTATTTTTTAAAACTTGTGTCACGTCAGTCTTCTATGTGAGCTCCTTCTCTACTTCTCCCCCGTACATGTAGGAGTTATATCCGGGCGGCTGCACATACTCCTCAGACTTATCCCAGTCTGTCACCCATCCTGACCCTGCTCCTCCTCCTCCTCCTCCACCGTTGAAACCAGCCCCCGATTGGCTTATGGCTCCGTACTGCCCCCCTCCACGGTACATCTCTTCTGTTTCATTGGCCAGTTCATCCTCGTCGATTATACCGCACTTCTCCTCACTTGTGTCCTCTATGTCTGCCCAAGGCTGCTTTTCTCCTGATGCAAAGAGTCCTAGTGAAGAAGAAAACAGATCAGCAATGAAACTGCGATATTTTAGAGATGCGTTACAAAACACTGTAGAGCCAAAGTCCTACCATAGAAAACCACTCCTCCATAATGAACAAGTGAGGCTATAAGGAAGACGTACTGCCACTCCTCACGCGTCTGAAATGATTCAAAAGGTATTTTAGCACAAGAAAGAACAAGAACAAGTCTCCCTGGTGTGTCTTTACTCATTAAACATCTTGAGCTTTATGCTCAGCTTTGTTGATACACGTGAATGAGTCACCTTGTGTTTGGTCATGGCACCAACTATGAGAGGACACACCATTCCAGATAACGTTCCCACTCCGTTCGAAATGCCCATCAGTATGCTGGCATATCGAGGCGCGATATCCAAGTGATTGACATTAAACCCTGAGTGAAAGAGCAAAAACACAGAATGATTTTTACACTTAGGGGATAGAAAAAATGATATCATTTTTTAAAAACACATTTTCGTCTTAACGACGTTCACTTCAAACAGTTTAATAAGATAATGATCTAATATCTGTCTGTGTGTGAAATATAAAGCCATTTCCAGGTAGTAGCGGGCACAGCTTGTCATCCACAAACCAACTGGGGATGCCATGTCCATCTTTGATATACAGTCTATGCTGCCAATGAAAACACTACAGCTGACTGACAGACTCATGTTTGCAAATTAGGTCATATTTTAAAGTCCTATCAATGTCAAGTTTTATTCTCATTATGTAGCTTTATTGTAATCAAACTATCAAAACTCATTAATTTTGATTGGTAAATTACCATTAAACAAACTTAACCTAGCTAACTAATATGGCAAATTCATTTACAGTCATGTAAATTGGAACATTTTTAACAGGATTTTATAATACTGTGAAAACCTTCAGAAGCAATAACATGAAATAACAATTTTCTTATGACTTCATCAGTCTCTCACATCAATGTGGAGGAATTTTGGCCCAACTGTTCTTTATAACTTTACAAAGTTAATTGTGATTCGCATCACCTGATTCATACACACCTCTCCTAATGTCTCACCACAGCAATGCTTTCAGGTTGAAGCGTGGACTTTGACTGAACCATTCAAGATCATTTCTTTCTTTATTTTTCAGCCATTCTGTTGCAGATTTTCTGTTCATTGTCCTGTTGCATGACACAATTTTAGCCAAGCTTCATCTATCAAACAGATGGCCCCAAATTTCACTCTGTATACTTTGTTATACAGAGGAGCTCGTGGTTGACTCTATGACTGCAAAGTTCCCAGGTGCTGTGACTATAAAACAATGGCTGGGATGAGTAAAGGGGAGATGACACACAACAAAATTAAATAAACCATTGTGCAGATTTCTTTGTTTTTAAATATTGTTGGAAACATTTGGGAAAATGTAAGTAGGGCAACACATGTCAACAGAATCTAGAAAATGTGTCATTTTCATACTTTTAAGTTAAAACTTTAACGGGAACCAGTTTAGCTCAGTAGTTGAGCAGGTTAACACACCCCACGAGGCCTGGGCTCGATTCTGACCCTTGGTCCTTTGCAGTGTGTCTGCCCTGTTCTCTTTCCAGTCTCTTCCTCACTTATAACTATCCAAAACACTTGATTTACCGCTGTCCTGCTCACATTTAAAGCAATACTTAAAATTCCATTGTCTCTCATTAAACCTTACTATCACCTTCATGTAGCAACAGTAACACGACAAGTCAGGTTTTCACCTTACATGTTTAGAACATAGATTACCTGAGATAGCAAATCCACTGAATCCCACCGCCAGGACCAAGAAGGAGATGGCAATACCCTTTGTGTGAGAGTAGCCCACCACCAGCAGGAGGGTGGCTTCCATCCCAAAACCTGTGGAAATTCCAAAGAAATCCACATCAACACAAAGGAATTACGAACACTAATAACAAACCCTGTTGTTACAGTCAAGGCAGTGCCAATATGCCGTAATTTTCAGTGTTTGAAGCTGTACACGTGTTTATGCACACGCTGATTTGACCTTTAAGTTGTGCTGAAATATTAATTTGCTTCTAATGCTGGCAGCTACTGCACTTTAAATATTCTAACTGCAAGCTGCTAAATGCCCCACAACTGACAGCATAGTTTCATATGTTTAATTTTAGGAGAACTACAGCATCATTAATAAGTTCATCTTTACACATTTATTTATTTATTTTTGCAATGCTTCTAATTTAGCTTTAATCACTGTGATGTGTCAGAAAGTACTGAAAGAATTGTTTAACTTTTTGCAGCCATTTCTGCAGCAAAAATGAAATGCTATTATAATTTCCAGCTGATAATAGGATGAAGTTTTAGTGAAATAATAATTTGTCCGTTTTCTGAGCCACGGTCTAAAGATATTTAAGAGCAGTTGGTTCGTAGACCTTGGTGCTCTGGGAGGAGTGTCAGATGACAATTGCAGAGTCAGAGAATTATGGTACCCTCATACCCATTTAATAGGCTCTGTTGGCCAACTAAGACGGTTCACCAGAGCTGTATAGAGTTATTTAGTTTCTGCTCATAAACCATAAGCCATGCTCTTATGTTTGATAGCCTCACCTCCACAGTTCATGAGCTTCCTGACGTTGGTGGTGGACATCAGGTTGTGGGTTCTCAAGTAGTCAGCCAACTGGCCCCCAATAGGCACGATGATTGTCATCACCAGATGGGGCAAAGCTGACACTATGCCCACCTGAAAGTCATGTATAGGAGAGGCAGACAGTGTGTACATGTGCGTGAAAAAGGCAAAAATAGTGTTTTTGGGGGGAAAATGAAGGGAGGATGATGAGATGTTCAAATTTGTCCTGACCAAGTGGGAAAATTACAGTTTTACTTGCTTTGACCCTACAGCTTGGATGCCATGCTAACTCACCTTGCTGATCTCAAAGCCAAAGACTTCTTCAAAGTAGGCCGGCTGGCTGATGAGCAGCAGGTAGAAGGTCCAGCTCCTGCAGAAGTTGGCCACAATAATGGCATAGACTGGCATGGAGGTGAAGAAGTGTTTCCACGGGGTTTTAAATTTCTACCACAAAAAGTAATAAGATATTAATGATATGCACCAACTCCACCAATTAAGAACTGCAGACTCAGCCAAGTGCATGGGTCTAAATACACATACTTGAAGGGGATTGAGAAATGATGCAGACTCTCCGATCGCATCTTCAATGTATTTCCTCTCCTCTGGTGAGATGGTGGGATGGGCTGCAGGACTCTCGTATGACACCAGAATCCAAAACAAATACCAGAATATCCCAAAGCTGCCTGGGAGAGGGAGAGAGAGAAAGAAAGACACAGACATAGGAGACAAAGAGAACATTTAAGAGAGAACGAGAATTTAAAGGAGTTGTGGAAATTTAAAGAGAATCAAATAGTGGACATTTAGGGAAATTTGCATGAGCAGTCTTGGTGAGAAAGATAGTAATAAAAGTAACATAACACATATTTGTACTAACCATAGACATAAAATACAGAAGGCCACCCAGTGTATTGCACCAGTATCCCAGCTAAAGGCATGGCCACCACTGCCCCAGCATAGGATCCTGTTAAGACAACACACACACAAAGAAGGCACAAACCCTGTTTATATCTTTCTTTCTTGCACTCAACATGTTTTAGATCCATCATAGTCTTTTTAAACTCTTAAACGTTAGATGAACTTCTAGCAGTTTCATCACAAACGTGTCTTCAAACCCACAGAACCTGTGCAGACATTGTAGATACTGATCTGTGAGGTGACAGGAAGCTGACATTACCACAAAAAGCTGTCGTGGCTAATCGACTTCGCTCAAGAGGAGGTGCCCACTTGGCCCAGATCCCATGACAGGCTGGGTATGATACGCCCTAAAGGATAGAATACGGTCAGGGAAACACCTGTGCATGTGGGAATAGTCCTACACAGAGTCCAGATGTGGACAAAAACTCATATTTACCTCTACAAGGCCCTGGCATATCCTGACAAGTATGACGCAGCTGTAATGGCAGCGAGCGGCAGATGGAATCAGCATGTTGAGCGTCGATGTGGCCACGATGGCAAAGCCGAAAACTCTTAAAAACACAAAGGACAGTAACACTGGCATCAGAACATAAAAAAATCCCAATACATCCCAATACTGGCATTTTCTATGAATGCTGGTTCAGCTGCTTTGCCTCTTACTGTTCTGATTCAAATTATTCTTTTTTCCACACCTAGCATGTATGCAAATTCAACCAGATCTGACACCATAAATGTGGAGATATTAACCTGTTTGCTGCAAATTTTTGACATATAAAGCCACCCGGGATTTGTGTGACGATGTAGCCCCAGAAGAAGGAGCCGTGAATCATCCCCACTGTCTCTGGATCCCAGGTGAACTGTGCAGCCTGGAGAGAAGAAAAAAATTATATGACTTTAGCTCACTTCACAACAGAGGAGATTACCTTGAAAACTTAAGGTCAAGGGCAACTCTGGTTCATCATCCCCAACCACAAAGCCCACGAGTTGGATGTCCCTGATAAATACATTAAATAGAACCAATGGTTCAGTATCTTGCTCAAGGATACTTCGACGTGCAGACCTGAGTAGCTGGGGAATCGACTAACAACATTTCGATTGGTGGATGAACTGAGCTGGCCTAGACTGCAGGACTTTAGAAAATTTGATATCACTACACAAAGTAAAGTTTGTTTATCAGCAGTTAAGATGATGCCAACATCAAAACGCCTTAATAGAACTTTTCAGCTTTAGTCTAATACTCTAATACATGACACTACTTATTATGACTTATCAAGTCATTTAAAAAGTTACATAATTACAAAATTTTATTCTTCTCCAACCAACTACATTGTAAAAGGGATAGCCTCAATACAACACACTGCATACTGTGATTAATATAAACCATTAGATATAGTCCAATGAAGATTTAAAGTGATCCCACAGAAAAAGACTTAAGACAGTAACTTTCATTGGTACTGTGAAAATACTGCATGTTACCTGTGTTCCAACACAATTATTGCAGATGTGGCTTAATATCAAATTCATAAAGTAGGTCAATAAAGGCACAGAAGTTTTAATTTCTCTTCTGCTACTCACCACAAGTACTTCCTTGTTGCCTTTGTAGACAGTATGATCATTGACCATGCTTACAATGGCCACACCTAGGTTGCACCTGATGCCAAAGGAGATGCAGAAGCCCAGGCCAGACAGGATGGCGATGATGTACCGCCGGGGCAGGCCGAAGCAGGTGCAGTCCACCACAGGCAGCTCCTTCTCCTCCACCAGCTCAGGACGACCCTCCGCCGACAGCTCAATAGTTTCTCCATTTGGCTGCCGTTTCTCAATCAGCCTGATGGGAGACAGCAGAATATGTGTTAGGCTTTTGGGGTAAAAGTGAACAAAATGGTGCAAAAGACAAAATTCTGTGTATTATAATGTGCTGCAATGAAATCGATGCCTCGGTGATCTTTATGCCTAGCCTCACAGATGATCTGATCTAACAAATCAAAGTAAAACTGCAAAAAAAAAAAAGCAGGAACACAAAAGTGTGAGCTTCCTTTAGAAAGGAGCTATGAAAGGTTCAGTCTCCAGCTTCCATGCTGACATCACCGGGAGTTACCAGATTATTTTGAGCCTGTGACAAAGAGTTTGCATCTTTTCTTCATGCATGTTTTAAACTGCAAAGATTTTGCACTCTCTCTCTCTTTTTCCTCCTACAAACGCACTCCTCCAGGCTGACATCATGCTCCACACCGGGGTCACGCCTGACTCAGCACGTCCCAGTGTGTGGAAGCAGCTGTCACAAGCCGAGGAGCTACGACAGCCGCGTCGTCTCTGCTTCAGGATCCAAGGAACCTACTGGTCCTCTCACTCTGATAGTGTCCTCACCACTAAATGCCTTCATTTTTTATGACATCATTCAGCCGAATCTGCTTAACAAATTAGCATTATGTTTAAAACTACAAAAGGAACTTTTGTAGGAAATCAGCTTTTAAGGAGTTACACTTTACCGAGCTGCAAAGACAGGGGTGCAAGTGTCTAAAATGTGTTTGCTTGTTTTTTAACCGCTTAAAATCCCATGGTTTTAGCCCATGTGAGGTGATCTACTTGTTTTCCAGGCTATTGTTCAGTTTGTGTGACCATTTTTGTAAAACAACATGTCGAGCATCCCCTCAACAGAAGTCATACAGAGAAGTCAGAGAGCAGCCATCTGTGTATTACAACCTTCATACTCACAACAAAAACACACACACTTCCATCAGATTTAAGTAAACAACACCTACAGATATACATTAGACAAAGTGTCACCATTTTTTCAGTGAATGTATATATCAGTGTTCACTGTCTGTTAAATTTGAGTTCGCAGCAGAGCGAATCATGTGTCCGCCATCCACTTTCCATTGAGGTGATCCAGTTAGCCAGTGAGCTGGAGAATCGTGCACAGAAAAAAGCACAATCAACACGGGGGTCAGGCTGGCGAGGTGACGATGGTTGTGTTTTAAAGATAGCGTTTCATTGGAGGTCGGGGCTTAAACAAGGTTAGAAAGCAAGTGTGCAAAGTCGAGACAAGTCAGCCTCTGATGCTGATTAATTATTGACCTTTTTTTTTTTTTAGATAAATTATTTACTCCAGCTTTTACACCACAATCTGCCACCATTTGTCCGTCTGTCATCCACCGCTGTCATTATATTTATTTTAGTTATGCGTGTGAATTCCACTCCCTCCCCCTTTTGCACACAGCACACTCTGTATAATCTCGATATGCATCCATGCAATCTGTCAAAAACAAACTAAAACGCAAGACAAGAAGACAGGTCAGTGCAATTACGAGTATAATTAAAACTGCCTACATAAAGAAATATTCTACTCTTCAGTAGATAACAGAAAACACAATGGAAAGCAACATTTTTGGAATTTGTGAGAGATTAGAGAGGCTGCATCCCATCTCCCTCCCTCCCTCTTAATCTGTCACTACACTAAGATTAGGATTACAAAAATGATTTACTTCCGGAAATGAATATGGATGGACAGACTGACTCTGCTGGGCACGATTCAGCACGTTTCTCCCTCTATCACGGCACGCTGTTGAGTTCATGCTGGTCATGTTTTTTAGTCCTTCTGTAACTCAGAAAGCCTTTTTCAGCTTTTGCGTCAAGCTGCAAAATTTCAGGTTGTGCCTCACCTGTTAGTTAATGGTCTACATTTTTATAGAATGGCCCATCTGACTGACTTGGAAATGGGACCATCATGTGTTCATTGCTGACCTTTCACACAAAGTGTCCTGACCTAAGGACGTGATTTGCAATGTGTTTCCCAGTGGATCAAATACAAGAAATTAAAAAACTGCAACCAAATCCTGGAAGCATTGAAAAGGGCGACGCACGACAGAAGCAAAGTCGTGCACATAAATTTGTTGAATCAGTTGTTCACGCTCCTGCCGCTAAACAAATGTGCTGACTTGTCCCCCCGCGTGGAGCTCCTCCCTCATAGTTGGTGAAGGCTGCAGGAGAATCCTCATTAAACCTCAAGACAGATTGCAGCTTGACACCTGCCCATATGCTAAGAGCTAACGAGGCTACCCCACAGCAAAAAATGGTCGTTAATTACAGATGCTTTCCACTAAAAGGCAGCCTCACCCCCTGTGTTCGTGTACAAAGCTGAAGCAAGGGAATTTCCAGCTTAGAAGCAAAGACTTAAAAGATTCTTATACACAAACTTCTTACTTCTTAACATGCTGACTGGTAAAATTTACCAGCTCTGTGTTGAAGAAGAGACACAGGTTCACAATACTGCTTGCTTCCACTCATCTGATGGAGCTGATTGGTCTCAGCTGTCAACAATTAATGAGCAAGCGAGCATGAGCAGGCAGGAGTCCTGCGACCTGGGGCTCTCTGAAATATCATAATTACAATAGTAGCAGGCTCAGTGGAGGCACACGCTTCAAACAGAGCTCATGATTTTCACCTAGACAAAAGAAGCAAAATCCTAAAACCTGTTTAACCCCAGCGTGAAGACTTCAATACCTCTTGAGTTTAACTGGTGTAAGGTGTTACACAAATTTGATTATATATTAAAAGTATGTTATATAAAACTCCTTAAAACAATAAAAAAATAAAACAGTTGTTGCTAAACTGTGAGTGTTTGTAAGCACACTTTGATTCTGTAATATTCTGTCAGCTTTGATAAAATCACAGTGACTCTCAGGTGACTCGGGGCCTTTATTAGACTCTGTATTAAAATCACCAATTCACAGAGTATTCGGTGTAATCCTCTCATATGAGGATGATCGAGACTGAGAGTGAGACAGCGAGGGAGTAAAAATATTATATAACACCAGACACCCTGGTGATTATTTCTCCATATTTGTGAGCTTAAATTGATTCTTGATTTTATTCCTTTTCTTTTTCTTCTTTTTTTTGTCTCATTTCAGCATTTTGGAGCACGCAAAGTAGCTTAAATATTAGATTTTTACTTTTTCTCCGAGCACTTTGTAGTTTTAATAGTGATTTTGTTGTTGTCCCCCTCCTCTCCCATCCTTTGAGAGCCTCTCGCTCTCCCTGAAGTGAACAGATTGGGTCTCGGTGGGACTGTGTCACCCAGGGAGACACCCTCCTCCCCATCCTGTCACACCACTTTTTCTCTCTCTCTCCTGCTGACACACACACACACACAGACACACACGTTTAACAGTTACACGTGTGACCTTCATAGACGTATTATCTAAATACTCACACAGTATAACTCAGTCGCAGTATGAGTGCTGTCTCCACACACACAACACTTCTCGCTACATTCACCAGAGAACAACACTTCAACAATGAGCTGCACGGGGTCGTAATATGATAATCGAACCACGTGTTAGCTTACATTAAAATATTTCCTCACAAACTGAACAAGTGAAGCAGACACTAAATGCTGAAATCGACAGCATGGACAGCATCGCTGCCAAAAACCAGGCATGCTGAGTCGTTGCAGCTGACTCTCCAAAGTGGCACAGCTATTGTAGATGAATCTCTGGTCATCTGTGAAGACTGTTTCACAAACCTGTGCCCATGTTCCACACAAAACAACAGAGACAGATGAACGGATAAAAGATAAGAATAGGAAACACAGAAGTGTCTCAAATGTGGACTTGGTGTCTTGTAAGATTTTGCCTTTTGTGTTCAAGCTTGAACCTGCTTTTTTCCTTAGACATAGCTTTATCAAGACTAACAGGAAATCCATGACAAAGACATCCTACATATGATACAAAAACTAATGCTAAATGCTGGGATTAAATGATGGCATGCTTTCCTCCCTGTGCTTCACCACAAGCAAACATATCAAATAATTATTTTTTCGCTTCACCGTTATTTGAAAATTTTATTCAGAGCACTTCTGCAATGACACTGAACTGTAGTAGCTGAAAAATGCACTCCACTGCAAGTAAGATGGATTAAAAATGGATTACCTGTCATATTCTGTATTGCCTCACATGTAGTACAGCACAGCCTCTCATTGTGTAGCCAAGCAATCCTGCAGATGCATTTAAAAGTCTTTTAATAAATCGAAGCGAGGCATTTTTATGATAGCGTCTTTGGGGTACTATTAGTAACTTTTGCACACAACCCAAATTAAAACCAAGAAGCAGTTGTGTGATTATATTTCATGCAGAGCTGTGAGAATAGCCAGATTTGGGGGATCCATCTGGAAACGTTATAAAAGAGCAAATAATGTAAGCAGAGATGTGGAGTGACCTTACAGCGCTGAAGTTTGTGCTTACCTAGTGGAGTTTAATATAGAAACAGGAGATGCATTCTGATGGAGAAAATGTTTAAATAATAGATGAACTCCTGGCTGCTTTCATCAGGAGGGATCACGGTTTTGTCTGTGAGGTGGTGAGATTGCACGCAGACACACTCGTCTGCTTACACAGTGCAGGGATGCCCAAGTTTCACCACGCATTCACACATATACAGCTTTATATACACACATGCATACACAAAACCATAACACACTGCTCTCTTATTCTTTGGCTGCACTTGACACATGCAACCGCATAAAACCACGAGGTCACGCTAAGCTGAGGAAACGCCCACTAAAGTCAACCTGAATCCAATCCAACACATCACATCTCTCATGGAATCAGCTGTGGTGATGATGCGCATGTGTGGAACAGTAAGAGAGAAACGAGACAGGCATGTGTGTGTTGATTTAAGAGACCCCAGTAGGCTGAAAGCTGCTGGTGTCTCAATGGATGGAGGATGAGGAAGAAGGAGGAGGAGGCAGTGGCTGGAGGAAGTGACATGGCTTGCATGGGATGGAATGAGTGGGAGGGGAGAGTTTAGGGATTTGCATGGCTCGACAGCTGGACTGCAAAAACAGGCTATTTCAGGACAGGATTTATACGTTTGGTTGCTACCTCAAATCCTGGGAGAGCCAAAGCTTAAAGCAATGGTTATTGCATGAGGTTCTATGATTGTCTTTAATCTGCCTTTTTTTATTTATTTATTTTTAAACTGAAATATTATCAGTACATCAATCTGTGTAGCAACTTTCACACTCATGTGTACTTTATTTACACATATGCAGCACTTTGAAATGTTCATAATCAGAGAGGATTATGAAGCTTTCTTTTCTTTTTTTAAAATAAGTACCTGCATGCACCTCCAAAGACATAAACTATGTACCATACAGGCTGCAGCAGTGACATAGTTGTCTTTTTTATATCGACCTTTCTTATTTATTGGTGCAACTAACAATTATTTTCAGTCTCAATTAACCTACATATAATTTTCTTAATTGATGGCAACAACCAATAATCATTTGGTTTGTATTGTCAGGTAGGAAAAAAATAGATGTGGAAAAACACAGTTTCAAGGAAACGTGTCCACAAGGTTTTGTGTGTTTTATCACGCAGGTGATTATTAAAATAACAGTTTATATGCCTGTCACTCAAAACTCAGCCTGAAATATTAAAAAACTTTAGAAATTCACACCGTATTTCAGTCGTTTCTATTCATTTCATTCATTTAGTATAATCCAAAACACGTTTTCATAACAATTAAAATGAAATCCTTCTTTCGCTTTAAGACGATCAAACAAACAAAAAACTGCAAATCATTTTTTAAGTCACATTATTTAAAAGAGGAAAAAAAAACATACGGCAAAAACAATTTGGAGCGCAAGAAATGTAATTTATACCGGGAAACTAAAGATTTAAACTTTCCGGTTTTATCTGGCCAGCGCTTTCATTCAGCCTGGTCGTGCCAATAACGCACGGAAACATTATGTAACCAGACTTTCTTCTTCTCTCCAACACCACTTTGAGCCTCACAACATCGAACAAAAGCGCAAACAATAAAAAAAGCATAAATGCAATAAAGCATCAAACCACAAAGAAAGAAAGAACAAACACTCTTTTTCTCTCACTGATAACTTCTGTAACACTATGGAGTACCCGTTATGGGCTTCTGTTACAGCGACGACAGTGTGTCATGTTTTTTCCTCCTAATAAACCAAATTATTCAAAATATTATGGATTTCATCCATTATAAAACACTTCTCCTCTCACTTGTGACAATCAAAACTCCCTACTGCGCAAACGCGGACTTCTGTCGCTATTTTTTGTGAAGGGTTAAACCCAACACATTCCTCTACAATTAAAATAAAAAAAGAACCAACTTTTTAAGTGTTAAAAATTACTGCTTGGAGGAGAGCGAGATGACGGATGCACCAACAGCACCGCCACCAACAGCACTGATATGTGTTGCAAGAAAAAAGGCGTAAAAACGCGCACAAATCCGGGGTGAGTTGAGAACATTTGAAATATCAGTGTACCTGTGAATTTTCCCCAAAGTTTTGCCCGCGACCGCCTTAAACCTGTCTGGTCGGATCTCCATCTTTGCAGCTCCTTGACCCGGCCGGTGTGCTGATGTCCCGTGCGCCCTCCTGTCCTGCCCGAGCGCGTCTCTCTCGCTCTCTCTCTCTCTCTCTCTCTCTCTCTCTCGCTCTCTCTCTATCGAGCACAAATCCCTCCTTCACTGCACTGCCCCCTCCGCTCCGACAGGTGTAGGCCTTTCAGGCTCCGGGCTTCCTTGTAAAGGGATCGAAAGCCTCTGGTCGATATGGACTCTCGAGTTGGGTAAGATTTCATTTATGCTTATTCCAAACAGGAGATATACTCACTGTTGCCCTTAGCGATAGTGCAGGAAAACACGAATAAATAAGATGGTGGAATATGATGTCTTCTCTGTTTTGTGCGTGTGGTGTAAAAAAAAGTAGCAGGGCTGATATTGTAGTACTCTTTCAGCAGGTTTCTCACACGTGGATTAAGTTCCTTAAGTTCATCTGGGGTGTTTGTCACCACCACAGGGAGACAGTGAAGATGGAGCCTCAAGCTCAAGACCCCTTGATTAAGACAAGGCTGAATCCATGTCCAGGAGAAATGCCACCTAGCATGTTAACATATGAAATACGTCTTCTAATCTTTCTCTGTTTTTAATTTATCTTTATGCTCCGATATTGTTGTGTTCACCATGAAGTCAGTTTATAACACTGATCGATCCACAATTAAGTGCTTTTGTGTTGCATGTATGTTCATATATGAAGTATAGATAGATTTGTAAATTTTAATATAATATTTAACATTTCAAGGTTAAAGGGCAAAAAAATGTTACTAAGAAGGCGTGCAAAATATTTGTGTATTGGCCCTATTAAAAACCTAAACAAAAGTGCTTGTATGAATGAGGCAAGTTGTGTAAAGTGCTTTGATTACTCAGAGTAAAAAAGTGCTATATAAGAACCAGTCCATTTACAACCCACCCATGTTTAGGTATTATTTTCTTGACCAAAAAACAAATGAATGTTTGTGGATCATAATAGAGCAGAGAATCAGGCTGCTGCCACCTAGAGGTTTATTAAAATACAGTAAAAATACTGCTACACTGCACATTTTTTGTGAACACGTAAAAACATTGCTGTGCTCTTATGAGGTAAAATGATAGAAATACAAAAATAACCAAAACCAAAAAAAAGTAAAAAAAAAACCCTGTCACATTTCAAAACCAGCCTAAATCATTACAGAAATATTCAAAAACACACACACACACACACACACACACACACACACACACACACACACACACACACACACACACACACACACACAGTTACTCAAGGCAGAATGCTTTTTTTTTATTTTTTTTTTTACACTATGATGATCTCATAGTTTAATGTTGAGCCAGGGTCTACAAACACAGCAAAGAGACTGAGCTGTTAACCAGACGGTGAGCTCAGGTGGAGTGAAGGAAAATGTTTTCCTAGCCTTCAAAACAGCACCACCCGTTACTGTGATCACCAGTAAAACCTTTAATTGGGAAAAAGCTGGTGGGAGTCCTTCATCAAACCACCTGATCAACAGATTCCAATGTGAAGAAAAGAGAACGTTGGCATTATTTTGACAGATTTAAAGTGAAATATATACAATATTTCTATTCATGATATTCTATAAATATTTACAAATATGAAAATAAAAGCTTTGTTTTTGCAGGCCAAAAAACATGTACATGGACCACTAAAATTCTGAGCTGCTGATCTGGTCTGTTCAGTAGCACAAAATTTTGCAGTGCACAGGGTAAGCTATAGAATGGCGATAAGCTCGCTTCTCTTCATTGCAGCCAGCACATTCTTCTTTAATAACTTATGGACGCACAAACTGACTCACTGACTAGCACACTTAGACATACAGACACATAAAAACACATACACATGAGCATACACCAACTATGTCATTCAGGAGATACAAACACCCACATCCAGCCATCTGCCATGACCGGTTGTGGGTGAGGGGTGGGAGATAGGATTAAAAAAAAAAGTTCACAAAATCTTTTGAATTTTTTTTTTCTTTATTATCTGAAGTTTTTATTTTTCGCTGACTAAAACATTTTTTTTTCACAACTAGTTTTAATTTCCAGTTTGGAACACAGATAACTAAAACAAAAGTTTTTATAGTTTTCAGTTCAAGGCAGAAAGCTGTCTCAGAATGAAACCTTTCATTGATAAAGCTAGTTTGCAGTGAAGGTTGTACGTTTCCTTTTTTTTTCCTTTTTTTCTTTTTTTTTTTTTAAATTGACATTTTGGAATCACTATACAATACCATCAACTTCAGCAATTTGTCAGTACATATATATATATATATATATTTTTTTTTCTTTCTATATTTAAACAACTAAAATATCCATACAATAAGAATGAAAGAAGAAGAAAAAAAAGAAAAGAAATAGAAGCAAAACAGGAAACAATAAATAAATAAAAAATACATAAGGAAAAAGAAAAAGGAAAGAAAAATAAATAAATAAATGTAGGGAGTGTGTTTTTGTTTCCATTAATGTAACTAATATTTCCTCTAGTCTTCTAGTAGTTAACAAAGTCAAAATCTAAAGCAAAAACTGGCCTGCGTTTTTTAATGTAGTTCATCCATTTCTTCCATCGTGATACAAACAGGTCCCTCTTGTAGTTCACATCTGCTGTCATTTTCTCCATTCTGTAAATGTCCATTGTGATGTTCATCCACATGTTCATAGTTGGGCTCTCTGAAGAAAGCCATTTTTTTGTGATGGCTTTTTTGCCTGCTGCCAGTAAAATATTAAACAAGTATTTATCGTTCTTTGTCCATCCTTCTGCCATAAGTCCAAAAAATTGAGTTTTACTTTCCAAAGGTAAATATCTTCCAAATGTCTCTTGTGTTGCTGCATGTATTCCCTTCCAATAAGTTTTAATAACGTGACAGTCCCAGAAAATATGATAGTGATTTGCATTTGTAAAGGCAGAATGTTTTCATGCAAATACATATTAGTCCTTCAGCTAAAAAAAGATCCCATAAGCATTTTTATGAGCTGCTGCATTCACCAGACATGAAAGTAGTGACTGTCACCAGCATGTTGCATACGTTTCCTACTTTAAATCCTTTCAAAAACACAACTGTTTGTTTTATTGTTTATGTACAACTGTTTCTATCTTCTGAACAGCAAAGCTGGTTCAGAAAACAAGTATAGGGAGGCACTAGGAGGATGATACAATATAAATACATAGTTAAAACAACTTCTCAAAGGTTTACTGAATATAAAGACATAAAATCCAAGGATAACGCTGTTCATGGCTCTGCTTGCTTTAGTTTTTTGTCTTTGTACTTTTCTATTTGAATTTTGTCCTTTCTCAAACAACTTCCTTCTGACCACCATGCTCACACCCCCGTGTCTTGTTCCTCCTCCTCCTCCTCGTCCTCCTCCTGGGAAAGGAGCCGGTAATGTTCGTTGCCCACCGACAGGAAGGCAGGCCTGGGATGAACCTCGTCTTCCCTGAAGTGGACAGGTTGGAAATGGGAATCTGGCTGCTCGGTAGAGCTGCACTTGGTGTACAACTCGCGACGCATTTCCTGGCCGACTTCAACCTGGGAGGGAGTGCTACGGACCCAGCGGTTCTTCACTAAGGAATAGATGTAGCTGACAGGTACAGGCAAGCTGGCAAACACTATAAGCATGATGATCATAGCCAGGGCCCAGCCAGGGTACTCAAGAGTCATCTCAGAAGCCTGAAGAGGCAGAGACACAGAGCTTAAGAGTGACAAACACCGGCAGAATTACCTTTGGCTGTTAGATAAATGTTTACTTGTGGGATTAAAAGGAGCTATAAAATTAAAAAGATAAGAGATGGTTAAGCAACTCGTTACCAAAAGCATAAAAATGCAGTTAACAGATAAGCAGGTTGACGCTACAAAAAATGGCTAACTTCACTATTCTTATGAAGAATAAATACAGAGATATTGTTGTGCTATGTCACAGCAGATGAATCCAGACATAAGTATTTGGATCGCATCTTGGTGTGAGTATAACCACTGCACAGCTGTGCCAATGAAACCACACGCTCTCGTTTACTGATGATTTTGTTACAAGCTTCAGAATGAACGCTCACTGGAAAATATGTCACCAGTCAGCAGGACAACAATCCTAAACATACAGGGAGTCAATATGATGCAGAGGGACAGGTGATGATGAGGTTTAACGCTATAATGTCAGATGAGTTTTTCAGACGTCCACATCATCAGCGTATTTGTTCTTCCCTGCGTAACCTGAATAAACTGCACAAAAATGCCATATGTAGAATAAATATAAACACTCTAGTTCAGGATTCCTAAGGTCAATGTTATTGTCTGACCAAGTGAATCTCCTAATATCAGTATAAATTAAGCACTTTCCATTTGTTGAGCATCACAATAAAGGAAATGAGAATCCAGAACATTGAGATGGTGGTTGCACTGAAGGTCTGTGAGATCATCAGAGTTGATACAAAAAAAGTTTCTTTTCTACTGTTTTGGACACTGTGCTAAAACCACAACATCTTCCAGCATGCATATATGTGTTACACACATGCATATAGTGTGTACTGTGGGTCAGGAGGTTGTCTACTGAAGTGGAGTGGGATGTTTGATCCCAGATTGTCCAGTCTTCAGGACAAATACAATGAATTCTGACTTTCTCCCGATGTATTCATCAGAATGAGTGTGAGTGTTTGGGTGAATAAGGCTTGTGTTAAAAATCACAGTGAGTGCTCAGAGTAGAAAAGAGCTATGCAAACACCACCTGATATTTTAAAATGGTAACTGGCTATTTGAAGTTTAAAATCATGTGATTTGATGGAAAGTTGAAGTCGAACATCTCACCGTGCTTTGATTCCAGGCGGTGTACGTGGGCCCTTTGAAGACCATGCGGAGCAAACTGGCTGCCAGAAGACTGACCATCGCCAGCAAACACACATATTTCCAAAGGTACTTGTACACCACCGGAGGGCGCCATTTGAGCATTATTTCAATATCATCCAGAAAGCTGCAATAATCAAAATGCTTTTCTTAAAATGCATCTTTTCAAACAAACATATAAAGACAAAAAAACCTGTGAAAGTCAGA